AGGTAGGTAAGATAGTAAATCTCTTTCTAAAGGATAGATCACAACATAGCTACATTTGATTATCTTAGTCACGTACCAAGATATTCATAAGACATGTATCTAGAGCTGGGTGATCATCTAGTTAAATCACCTCATTTTACAGATGAAGATACTAAGATGAAGAGAATTTAAGTCACTTGGTCAAGGTCATATCCATACAAAGTAGCAGAGATGGGTTTTGGATCCAAGCCATCTGACATGTTTAGGAATTCAAAACCCTAAAGAAAATAAGTTTTAAAATTATGCTTTTTTTATTGAAACTCTTAAAGAAAATCAGATATATGAATGAGGAGTGTATTGATAAAAGCTAGGAATATTATAGCTTGACATTAAGAGAACCGCTCCCCCAATGATATCAAAGCAGTTCCTACATGATAAGATGCCCACTCCAAATAAGGGGACTCTTTCTCTTAAAGATCTGTTCATTTTGCTATTAAGAAAAGGTTAAGGTGACTCTTTCTGAATTTATTGCTTCAAGTGTCTTGAATTCAATCTTATTCCATTGAGTTACTTGTATTTCCAGGGAATATTTTCACAAATGAAATGTACAAATGAAACAGAAAATGGTGAGGGAAGTTAAATACTTTCATTTGTTTAAATAAAGGTACTAGTCTGTGCAAGACAGATAGAGAGATATTTATCTCTTTAGAAAGATATTTCTCTAGCTATATGTGTATATATATATATATATACATATATATGTGTGTGTGTGTGTGTGTGTAATATACAAACATACACACACATATAATATATACACATATATACATTTAAAATCTGCATGTACATCTAGCTTCAGAATTTTGACTGAAATGACTACAGGCTGGCAAATCAGCAATTTTTAACTCCTATTATTGCTGATGTTCAAATAATTAAAAAAATAACTGTTGCATGGTGTTTTACAGTTTACAAAGCACTTTGTATGCATTATCTCATCCATCACAATTGACGTCTCAGTGAGAGGTGCAGAGGAACCTGACTACATGATGGTATCATTTACTGGAATGATTAGGAGGAAAGATGAACCCCACAGGGGGAAATTACCATATCAAACTGTTTTACAGCAGCTCAAGATTAGGGGTAAAATTTCTGATTATACATTTTCTCTACAAAGTGATTCCTAGCTACTGATAGACATACCTACACACAGGAGCCTGCCTGCCAAATGAAGTAGATCGTGATGTTCATAGAAGCATGATAATAGTACCCATGCTGGAAAGGTACAAATACACTTAGCCTTGTAAACAGACACTTTGAAATACGGTGGTGGTTTCAAAGCAATTTGAGAAGGAGTAACCCTTAATTATTTCCCTTACACAGAAATAGGACAGGCTATTTGTCTGTATTTAAAGTATAGTCCCTTTTATTTAACTTTTAAAGAAACATTGCTATTTCCCTTGCCTGCCTTTTCTCTCATGCTTTTCTGGTGGGTAAGATGGAGAACTGTGAATTGGGTAATAGTCTACAATAAGTAGACTTAGACCTGATTAATGCTTAAACCCAAGGAGTGGTTACATGGTCCTGTGTGGATTTGAAATGTGTAGAGGGTTGCATGCACTGGGGTGTGTTTGGCAATTTGCTGTTTAAACTCCTTTTCTCACTGAGGTGTATAAAAGTTTCAGTGGAATGCTTATCATATTTGAAGCTGATACAGATCTGAAGAGGAGAGTGAAGTCAATATCAAAAAATCCAAAAAGACTAGTGGAATCTAATAAGACAAAACTTTGGGGTCAATGCAAAGTCTTATATTCAAGGGTCTGGAGGTGCTAGCTCTTACTGGTTCTCTAGAACCTACTGGTAACTTTTCAGTGAGAGCTTTTATACCTCAGAAATCAGGAAAAAATACAAATCAGAGCATGGCTTACTGTTTTGTCAATTGTCCAGACTTAAGTAATGGAAAAAAAGCAATAATGCAAATTAATCTTAAAACTGTCTTGTATGCATCCCACCCAATAGCTGGTTAAGTATTTTCTAACATACAACTCCTTATTTGAATGCCCAAGTAAAAAAATATGAGAGGTATAGTGGAAGAGCAGTTACCTGAAAAAGATCTGTCAGTTGCAGTGAATGATAAGCTTGATAGGAGTCAACATTTTGACAGAGCAGCTCAAAAACATAATGCAATTTAAAGGGCAGTAAGAGAGGTGCAATGGCCAGGACTAAGGGGATGCTAGTCCCATTTCAGACTCTGTTCTGTTCAGGCCACATTAGTGTGTTGTATTCTGTTCTTTGGGCCATATTTTTGGAAGGATGTTGATAAGTTGGAAAACATCAGAAAGAAGGAAACCAAGATGGTGAAGGCCTTTTAATTAGTGCTATATGAGAATTAGTTGAAGAACTCAGGAAGTTTAACCTGAAGTCAGGAAGAGTCAGTGGGAATGTGATAGTCATCCTCAAGTATTTACAGCTCTACTTGATGGGATGTTCTGTAAAATAACAAATATAATACTAATAAATAGTTAGAATTAATATAGTGCTTTGCATTTTACAAAACTCTTCACTATGTATTATCTCATTTGATCCTCACAACAACCCTCTGACAGAGATGTTTTGCTCATTTTACATATAAGGAAAATGGGGCCTAGAGAATTTAAATGACTAGTCACAGAACTAGGAAGTAATGGAGGCAGGACTCAAAGAGGGATTTGATTTATACTGTTTACTCCCATATGGCATAACAAGTAGCAATGGATAGAAGTTACAGAGAGGTAAATTTAGAATTGATATATGGAAACATTTCCTAAAAAAATTCCTTCCAAATTATAGCCACCTGAGCTATCTCATTTGCTGTCCTCTTTATAGATCTTCATTAAAAGGCTGAATAACCCATCTCCTATGTATGTTGTAATATGCATTTTTCAAACCCTGAGATTGTGTATCTTATAGAACCTATTAAATTCATATATCATCTTATCTCAGTTTCACACAAGAAATATTATATATAATATGTGATCACACTTATTGATACACACATTCCGTCATCAAATCCACATTTGCCATCCTAATTTCAGTCAATTCTCCCCACCAACCCCATCTACCCAAATTATTTTCTTAGTGTTTTGTTTATCATAGCTTTCAGTCATACTGCTCATTACCCCCATTTAAATCTTTCCCTATTCTGTAATTTTGATGATGATTTTTCTTATGACTAGAATGTCTTTCCTCTTCTCTGACTTCATCTTAGCCATCACTTCATTGAAGACTAAGCAGTGGTATACTGGTATATGTTTAACAACTAGGTCTCCAGGTGAAAATAAAATGTATCTACGACACACTATTAAATTTAAGCATTATGAGTGTTTTTACGGCCATGTTTTAAAAGTCTAGACAATCAAGAAAACCATAGATCCAGGCACAAATTGTAGTTTGCTGATTTTCTAAGTGTAAATTTCCTCATTGAACATTTAGCAATTGGCTAATTCAAGCTGGTTTCAGCACACTTATATTTGAGTTTTATAATAACCTGTCTCAAGAAACTTTCTGTGACTACTTTCTACTATACTTTATGAATAGCTTATTCTGTTGTATTTCTCAACTTTTGGGTTGATTTAAAAGGAGCAAAATCATAATTTTTGATCTTGAAATCACTTTTAGGTGATTAATTCTTCGCTTAGTGAAGAATTATTATTACATTTTTTTATTTTACATGGCAGCCCATCAAGTAGAGCTACAAATACTTGAGGGTGACTATTACATTCCCACTGAGTCTTCCGGCCTTCAGGTTAAATATCCTGAGTTCCTTCAACTAATTCAACTAATTTCACATAGGGATTAATCACTAAGTTAACTTTTATTTGTCTGTATTCTCTAGTCACGTTTATCTTAATTCTGTCATTAGATTATAAACTAGTTGAAGGTAGTATTTTTTTTTAAATCATAGGTACCTGTAATAGACCAAATTTGACCACTGTAGTCTGATAGACCAGGGTCTGAGATCTGAATGAAATGACACTGAAATCTCAAAAAACAGATTAATTACAGTTTAAGGAAAAAATAGTCCAATTTCCCTGGGTTGGGACCCTAGCATATTGCTCCCACCAGAGCAAAATAGTACGTAGTTCAATTCAAGATAGGGATAGAATTAATGATTATTTGGAATGATTAATTTTAGATACCTTATATTCACATATATTTCCTAATTAATTTATTCCATGATTCCTCAAAGAGTTCATGGTATCTAAATTAGAGAATATCACTGGTATGACTATGTGTGTGTGTGTGTGTGTGTGTGTGTGTGTGTGTGTGTGTGTGTGTACCTCTGATGCAGTGGTCAAGGTCACATACATATTTTGTTGGCAAAAATATGCGTCCATACATAGTGCTATAATGGAATGAAATGTGAAATGTACAAATTTAGAGGCATCTCTACCCAAAATGTTCATGTGGAGTATTTGTACTCAACCTGTGGTAGAGCCTTCCAAGCTCATGTTTGTCTGAGCAGCCACAGTTGGCCACACTATACTTTGACCCCGACATAGTGATACCATTTTGTTCTCTTCCAGCATGAAGGGCAACAGCCCACCAACAATTAGTGATGGAAGAATGAGCTCTGACCTGAGAGTTAAGAGACTGACCTGGGTGCTCATCCTAGTTTAGGCATTTGCTAATCACATGACCTAGAACAAGTCATTCTTCCTCTGTAAGAAAGAGCTTCTTCTTTCTGGGGTTGCTGTGAGAATCAGATAGGAAAGACTTGTAAATCTGGCCTCAGACACTTAACTAGTTGTGAGACCCTAGACAAGTCACTTAACCCCTTTTGCCTCAGTTTCCTCATCTATACAATGAGCTGGAGAAGGAAATGACAAAGCACTCTAGTATGTTTGCCAATAAAACTCCAAATGGGGTCATGAAGAGTCAGATGTGACTGAAAATGACTGAATAGCAACAACAAAATAGAATATATATATAATTATTGTAGTTATTTGATAATAAAACTGATCATTTTAATTCCCTTTGTTTTTCAGTTGGTAGAACCCTTAACCCCAAGTGGTACAGCACCTAACCAGGCCCAACTTCGAATCCTAAAAGAAACTGAGCTCAAAAGAGTGAAAGTACTTGGATCTGGAGCATTTGGAACTGTATATAAGGTAAGTGAAGTCATTCTGAAGAACGAAATATTGAAAGGGAAGGTGGCTATGGAATTTTGATAGCCTATTGAAATATGTGACAGTATTGTAACTAACTCAGTCCTTTTGAAGGCATCTAGGTGGCACGTTGGGTATTGATCTGGCCTTGGCGTAAAGAAGACCTCCGTTCAAATTTTGCCCTAGATGCTTACTATCTATGATGGCCCTGGGCAAGTTAACCTATCTCAGCTTCAGTTTCCCCATCTATAAAATGAGGATAATATTAGCATCTGAAATTGTTATGAAGATCAAATAAGATAGCATATGAAAGTGCTTTTCAAATCTAAAAATAGTTATCGCAAAACCATTTTTATTAATGTCAGTGTTATTATGTTCAAACAGAACTGAAGCAAATGCATAAACATACATTCATCTCTTTGTTTTATGTGATATAAGTATTAAACTAACTTTAACAACTACAGTCTACCTGTTCCTGGGAACTCAATTAACTGCTCAGGGCCCCTAGGCAACTCTCTGAGACTAAGCTGCAGAATAATTTTATTTGAATGGGTATGACTAATTTCCTGTGGAGGAGATCCTTAAACAGTTAAAATAATGAATCAAAACTGATTAAAAAGCAAAAACAAATAGATACTGAGCTTGAAAATTGTGAATGGCTTAGTAATCAAAGATTTGGATGAAATTTTATGGTAATATGAAAACAAAACACATCAGTAATACTTTAAATAAAAATGGCAGGATGAGACAGACCCGTCCCTGAAAAAAGTGAAGTGTGAAATAGGAGTTTCCTGTTGGTATCTACTTCTTCCTCCCTCCATAAGCAATATTTTACATCCTTTCATACTTCCATACTCATCCAGGGGGCCAAGGCATCCTTAGTTTAGAAGTCACTAAATCCCATTATTCTAAGAAATATTGAGTAAACACCTACTGAGCACTGTATGACACTCATGTGCTTGATCTAATATCTCTTGAAGGCTAATGGAATTCTTGAAGTTATACGGAAACTTGCATTTTTTTAGAATGCCTTTATTAAAAAAGAATGTGTCACTTATCATCTTTTCTGTGTTTAATCAATTAATCAACTGACAAGAATTTGTAAATATCTGTGTTCCAAGTAATGTACTTAAGTGAATGGGAATACAAAGATGAAATGGCCCCAAACCTCAAAGAGCTAACATTCTAGGATTGCAACCTTTTATACTGATTTTCTTTCAGGACAGCAGCATTTGGAATGCATGCCTATTTTTCCCTCTAAAATGTGATGAAAAAGTAATGAATTATTTAGTTGCACAGTCAAAATATAAGAATTATTTAATGTCAGGGATATTTGTAATATTAGTTGAAGAGATCAAAATCACTTAATATGTTTCCTAAAGTACCTTATGCCCAGAGAATGGTTTTTCCATTTGTTTCAATATTACACAACAAAAAAACCTAGAGATGCAGCATCTAATTTTGTATTTTTAAAAGGTTACATATATACTAGCTTTATTAGTATGTATGATAAAAATACATGAAGTATATCTTTCAGTTATAAAACTATAGGGTCTCAAATGCCAATCAAAATGGAAACCATTTATCCTGGATATTTCCTGTTGAACTTTCTGCCAATATAATCCTGGACTTTGAAGCACAAAGATTTAGAATCCTGTTAAGCTGATCTAACTAAGATGTTTTATTGATAATATATAAACTGATCTAGTGGAGAAATGATATTGATGATGGATGGCCTATGACCATCTTTTTGTCACCCAAGTCTCATTATTGCTTCTGGTTCTAAGAGATAAACAGCACACATAATATTTACAGCAAGCAGCCCTACCCAAACTTCTTCAGGTTGATGTGGAGTGAGCCCAGGTATTTGAAGTAAGAGTTTTATATTCAGGAAGGAAAAAAAAAAGAGGTGGAGCCTCATATAAGTGAAGCAGCCTACAATAAGCAGACCATAACCACCAATCATACTTAGGATATAAAAGTTGAAAGACAGGGATTGGTAGAATTATTTTGATGTGAGGTGCTCATCAGCTATTCTGGATATTTCTGTCTCCATGATGGGGGTCAGACTATATTAACTTTGATCTTGGATTTAACTGTCCATCTTTTGTCATATATGTGTGTGTGTGTGTGTATGTGTGTGTGTGTGTGTGTATACACACATATATATATACACACACATATATATAGCTTATAACTATAATATAATTATTATGTAGAATAAATTTAACTATACATATATGATCTTAGGATCATAGTCTTAAATCATAATGGTTTCTATACCATCAATGAAGTGAGCCATTTCTTTTTGACAAAGAAACTAAGACTTAAAGAATGTAGTTATACAGAAAAAATACTTATGAGGAGTTGAAAAATGAAGCAATGAATTTCACTGAGACTGTTAATCTGGATAATTGCCTCCCCCCATCAGTAACCTTGCCCATCAGTAACAGGATCCTTTTCCACTTGAATTATCTGGATAATTGCTTCAATTCCCTACTTCAATAGATAGAACCTTATGGAGCCACAGAGCAAGTTAGTAGAAAGCTGGAATTAGAACCACTAGCCCTTGAGTTTCTAGTCTGTTGCTTATCACCTTAACCATGCTGACTCTTTTGAATATATTGAAACTTGGCATGTTTTGCAAAATTTAATGCAAATTAGGGAGTATGTGTGACTGGGAAGAATGGTGATGTGGACATATGTCAGAATTTGAATGTATGACTATGCCTTCTTGTTTCAAAAATAACTCTATCTTGGACGGATCTCATTGCTCAAATGCTAGTATGTTATTTATAGGTTCTAAATTACAATCATGAAGTAAGGTTTTATAGAAAAACTGGATATGTAATGGCTGTAAACTGGATATTAACTAGTGTACACAGCAGGGAAGAATAATTAGTAGTTAGGGAATTCCTTAATTATGGTGTTGTTTACATTTGTTATCAAAGACCATAATTTGTTTAAGTGATGTTGTGATATATAGACAGTCTATATTCCACATTCCCTTATTTTTTTCCCATAGGCAGGCCACAAGGCAAGGCTTGGCTTGTTGGTCCCTTCAGTACCAATTTCTTACTGCCAACACCTCCTCTCTTGGCCTTAGTTCCTTGACACATAGCTTTGCATATGGAAGAAAAGGCAGAGATTTTTGTTTTCTGTCTTGTACTCCTTCCTGAAAATAGCATTCAGTCCTCTTTTATAATTTTGAATCACTAGAATGGATCATTAAATGGTTTTAATAAATAACAAAAAAAGTTGTTTTAATTTTTTAGCAGTTAATCTAAGGGTTACTTGCAATTATACGGGAAATAAGTCCTTCACTAATCCTGGTTTTTCCTTCTTGCTGTAATTTGCCTTTTATTTTTGTCCCCTAAATCTTTTTATAAGTTTTTTTTTTAAGCTTGGTCCAATTTTATCTAACCTGGTTCATAAACCAAACTCTTGTATTCTTCACTAAGACTGACTTTGTCAAGGTTCTTGAGAGATCAAGTCTTTTAGAAAGTGTTTCCCCAGTATGGTGTCTAATGTAAAAGTTCAAGGTTTGAGGCAGATATATGGCACCCTCAACAAGGCTTTCCTTAGACTATATCCCTGAAATGACCTTGTAGTAATCTCTCTTTCTCTCACTCTCCTTGGATATGGACCTATGACGATTGTTTCCTTATTTGTGGCAAGAAATGGATTAGAAAGAGCATTTCCTTACACGGCCTCCAAAGATTCCTCTTTTAAGTCCTTTGTTCCCATTGAGAAGTTGATTCCTTCAACTCCCTGGAAATGTTAATTGCTCAGTTGGTCACCAATAATAAACCTTTTTCTGTATTCCAGATACTGTGCTACATTGTTGGAATGTGAAAAAAAAGTAAATAATTAGAAAAATAAAATTAAAAACCCAACCAACTAAATAAACAATAAAAAAATTCAATCTCTTCTCCGATGGAGCTCATAATCTGTTGGGGGAGAAAGCATGCAAAGAAATATCTGCAAATATTATATGCAGTATATAAATGTATAAATCCAAAATAATCAAGAGATGAAAGGCACTCACGTTAAATAGGATTTTGAAAGATCTCTGATAGAAGTTACAAATTTAGGGGCAGCTTGGTAGTACAGTGGGTAGAGCACCAGCCCTGGATTCAGGAGGACCTGAGTTCAAATCTGGCCTCAGACACACAACACTTACTAGCTGTGTGACCCTGGTCAAGTCACTTAACACCATTGCCCCCCAAAAAAAAGAAGTTATGAATTTAGCTGAGACTTGATGGAAGCCAGAGATTCAAGGAGTTAGAAATGAGGAGGGAGAAAATTCCAGGAATTCAGAATAGCCAGTGGAAATGTCCAGAGTTATGATATGGAGTGTTTTGTAGGAGGAATAGCAAAACATGGATCACAGAGGAGTGGATGAGGTGTAAGAAAACTGGCAAGTTAGAGGGTGTCAGATTATGAAGGGGTTTGATGACTAAACATGATTTTATATTTATCCTAGAGTTGAAAGGGTGTCCCTGGAGTTTATTAAATGCAAAGAGTGAAGTGGTAGGGAGAAGGGATGAAATGATCAGACCTACCTTTTATTAAGATCAATTTGACAGCCATGTGGAAAACTTGGAGTTGGGAAAGACTTGAAACATGGAGACCAACAAGTAGGCTATTATAATTGTCTAGGTGTGGGGAGATAAGGGCCTTCACCAGTGTAGTCACAGTGTCAGAGGAGAGAAGAGAGCTTATATGAGATATTACCTAGGTGGAGTCAACAGGACTTTGTAACAGATTGGATGGAGAAGGGAAAAGAGTGTTGAAGGAATGAAGCCTCAAAGATCATATCTAGAGTGCAAGCTAATGTGACTGAGTTGGTGGTGATGCCCTTGACATTAATAGGAAAATTAAGAAAAGGGGAGGAGAGAAAGTCAAGAGCTCATTTTTGGACATGTTCATTTTAAGATATCTTTGGAACATGTCCAATAGGCAGATAGGAATGTGAGAATGGAAATTAGAAGAGGTTAGGACTGGCTAAGCAGATATAGGTATCCTCAAGAAGAGGGCCTAGGACTGAACCTTGGTGGATACACGTGGTTAGGGGGTATGACATGGATGATGATCTAAAAAAGGAGGCCAAGTAGCAATCTTGGAGACATGAATGGAAAGAGTGATGTAGTTATAGAGTGAGAGTTCAAATTCCACATCTTCCACAAACTACCTGTGTGACCACAAGCAAATCATTTAAGCTCTTGGGTTTTAGTTTTATCTACAAAATGAGGAATTTGGATGATGTGAGCTCTCAGGTCCCTAGCTCTAAGGCTAAGTTCCTATGTTAATTAAAACTCAGACTCTGTCTCAAATGGATAAAAAGATATTTTTCACAAAAAAAAAGCAGATAAATCCCAACTGATCACATCTCAAAGTAAAACAAAAAGTCTTTGTAGGAATAACATAGTGTGTCAACAGATAAGTATTTTTCTTTGGCAAGATTATGGAACACAATGTCTATGGGTATTATTCTCCCCCCCAGTGCAGTGGATCCATTAACATGTTATTGCAGTTATTTTAAAATGGCTCCTTTCTCACCAAACTTACAGTCTTAGAATTGTAAGGTACTTTAGAGGTCATGTCTCATCTACTCTCTTTACAACTGAGGAAACTGAGGCCCAGAGAGAGGTCATCCAGTTAATCAGTGGCTGATCTAGGACACTAACCTAGGTTTTCTAACTGAGTCCATTGAAATTCCCACTACACACTGACTTCTAAAATTATGTCGTAGAATAGTTCTTAGACATTTCTCCACCCTGTATAGCAACAGTGGGAAAATACAGCCTCTTGGTCTTTTTTTAGTTTAATAGATTCTTTTATTTGGTGTGGCAGGGCCTTTAGTAGATTTATTGGCTACTGATACTAGGCTCCCCTTTCTAGTTCTCCCCCAGGGAGAATTTAACAATTAAAGTAGCTCCCTAAGTCACAACCATAGATTCACTTTTGTTAAACTACTCCCACATTTATGTCACTTCTTGGCTTTCTATTACAGCAGTTCTAGTACTCATGGGATGTTAGACAGAAAGTGTTGGACCAGAACTCTCTCTTCTTTTTCTTTTAAAGTCATGACCAATAATGTTTAGGAAAGAAAAGAGACTTGTTGAACTTATGTTAGTCTAGGAATCAATGTCATTTCATGTCAAGTCTGAGCTTTATTTCTGGAGCCAAATATCGTTTTTATGTGCTTTATGACCACATGTAAGTGTACCCTTCTTGATTTAATTGCTTCCATGAAAACTATATTAAGTGATCCTGGCTTCAACCTACCTTTCCAGCTTTATTTCCCATTACTCCTCATTTTATACTCTATATTCCAGCCAAACATGGCTAGGAGCTCTTCCCTGAACTCGATTTGCTATTGCTGGTCTCAGCGCATGAGTACATTCTAGTTCCCATACCTGGAATGCATTCCCTCCCTGCAGAATCTTTCTCTTATTTTTTTTTCAAGGTTTAGCTCTAGTCTGGACTTACATAGAAAGAACTCCTTGATTCTAATTCCTCATACATTCAACACCTGTTTTTAGTATTCTCTTCCTCCTCAGTCTTCCTAAAGCAATTTTTTCTCAGTTCTCTCCTTTGTTTCCATCAATACCTACCTTGTTATACTTAGCTATGTAATAGTTCTATCTTCTTTCCCCTAGCAGGATATAATCTCCCTGAGGACAGGAACTGATTTTTTTTTCAATCTTTATATTCCTATCTCCTAACACAATGTCTTGTACTTCACATTTTGTTCAACTTAATTGAGGAATTTGTGGACCTCAAACCCATCTAATTTATTGTCCATACTTTTACACATGAGGAAACCTGAGCCTAAGGGATATTGTGACTTGTCCAAAGTTACACAGGTAGTAAATGTTATAGGAGGGATTTGAATTCAGATTCCCAGTCTCAAATATTTTCCCCACTTTCCTTAGAGGAAGCAGAAGGCATATTGTAGCTATCATATCAGATGGAGAAGTGAGAAACTAGTGGTACTTTATGTTCATAAAATATCAAAGAAGATATTGTAAGTTCAATTCCATGTAAGACATTTATTAAGCACCTACTGCTATGTGCAAGGTTCTAGGCAATGAAATGACTCTGGTTATGAGTATATCTGTAGTATACTGTATCAGTTTGAACTAAAATCTTTTAAATGTTTTTTGAAACTTGGATATTTGCCTCATTTTTCTTTTATTCACTTCCATATATAATTTATGTACAGTGGATAGATCTAATTATTATGAAAAAAAGAATGAGGTAGATGGCACAATGGATACAGCATTGGACTTGGAATCAGGAAGACATCTTCCTGAGTTCAAATCTGACCTGAGACACTTAATACCTGTGTGACCCTGGGCATGTCACTTAACTCTATTTGACTCATTTCCTCATTTGTAAAATGAGCTAGAAAAGGAAACAACAAATCATTCCAGCATCATTTCCAAGAAAACGCTAAATGGAGTGAGGAAAAGTCAGATACTCCTGAAATAACTAAACAACAATAACAATAACAAAAACGTTTATTTCTGTCTCCAAATATACAAAGCCCAATGAGCATATGCACACCCAGTTTAATAGAATTGCTCCATTTTTAAAGTATTCGACTTCAGTTTTGTGAAAAACTATACAAGCAGGGTGTGTGTGTGTGTGTGTGTGTGTAAGGGATTTAAAAAATACAAAAATACTCCCAACCACAGTTTTATTGAACTTTTTACTTTTGTAAAACTTATAAACATATTCTAGGATTGTAATTTAAAAGCTAAAATTCCCCTCCCTCTTTTCAGTATTTCAATGCCTCATGGTTAGAAAAACTTATCTGGTTTAATGTTTGTCACATTGCACCAAACTCCATCATCTACATTCTTGGCCAATATAAAAAAAATCAGTTAGATTTTATTATTCTATCTTTCTGTTAGAGAGAGAAATCCAAAAACTAATATTAATAAATTATATTAATATGTCATATTTCTTCCAAGGAACTCCAAGTGTTTTGCATATATACTGTTCAGAAAAACAAATGAGGTATCCTATGGTGGCTAATAGACATTATTTTCCTTGAAAATTGAGTCCTAAGTCAATCTGCATGTAAAGTGACAATGTTTTCTATTAGCTTGTTTTTTGAGTTGCAACATAATCATATTATCAGTTGGAAAGGACTTTAAAAGCCATTCAATCCAACCTCCTTTGTTAACATGAGAAATTCTAGATACAGTGAGATAATGACTTGTCCAAGTAACCTAACTCTCTATGTAGTAAAGAAAGGGCTTGAACTGAGATCTCCTAATTCTTGGTTCAGTATCCCCATTCTCCACCACCACATTGCCTCTAAATTTATGGGCTGTTTTGTGATATTCTTTCTTTTGTGATCATTTCTTTAAAGACATTATTTTTGATAATAAGAATTAATTTACCTGGTGAAAACGTATACTACATATGTTTTACATTAATCAGTTTTGAAAGTATATGTATATATATATATATATATATATATTGTTTTTTTTTTCCTCAACAGGGAATCTGGGTACCTGAAGGAGAGACAGTAAAGATACCTGTGGCTATAAAAATTCTCAATGAGACAACTGGTCCAAAAGCAAATGTTGAATTCATGGATGTAAGTACAAACACTTCATCTCTGATTTCTTTCCAGTAGTGACAGAGCTAATTTTAAAATAAAACAACCAACCACATTAAACAAACAAAATAAAAAACCTTCTCCAGTTTATAAACTTTGTCTTCAGGAACAGGTTGAATTTTAGGTTTCAGAAATTCCCTAGGGCTATCCAAGATTAGAGTAGGAAACAGCTTAATTTGTATCTATACTTCTGATTTGGCTAGGTAGATTTAGCCTGAGCATTTGGAAACTGGGCAGACGTGAGATCCAGTATTCTCTGAACTGAATTTTTCTCTCTATTAGCTCTCCTATCTACTTTTCTAAGTATTACTAATAATTCAGTTGCAGTTCCTTTAAGAAAAAGTAGTCAAGGAGCTGCTAGGTGATGCAGTGGGTAGAGCTCCAGCCTTGGAGTCAGAAAGACCTGAGTTCAAATTTGGCCTTGGACACTTGACACTTACTAGCTATGTGATCCTGGGCAAGTGACTTAACCCCCAATTGCCTCACCAGAAAGCAAAAAAAAAAAGTACTCCATAAAAGCTCCAGAAAGTATAAGCATATTACTTTAAAATAGCCGTATCAGTTCATAATTATTATATATGTGTTTAGTGATGATGAGCAGGATTAGGTTGGTATTGACGTAGAAAAATGAATCCCTCTGTTCTATTTTGTTATATTCATGGCCTCTTTTGTAAAAAGATTTTCTTACTAGGTAGGAGTTGTAGTCAAGATGTGCTGTATTGGATTTAGAAGTTGACCTAAGTCAGACATCCTATATTTGAGATGTACTGTCTTTGGTTAAACTCCCGAGTTAGAACCTCAAAGTAAAAAAGGTCCCCTTCTATTGAATAATTGCCTTGTTAGTCCTAAAGGAGAGGAGTGTAGGGCAAGGTCAACCTCTTCATGACCTCAGATAGGCTTCTCTTACTTTTAGATCCCCAAGCATCAACTAAAGACATATTTAGCACATAGGGTGGTGGCTGAGAATATTCCCTTTTGAACTATTTGAAATTTTTTGGCATTGTGCCTGGAAAATATCTCAAAGTATAAAGCTGAGACATTTTCCAAGGAATAGACAAGCATCCTATTTTAAGTTAATCAGAGACAAGGATTTGCAAAAACAATACCAAATTTTAAGAAAAAAAAAAACAACCACCAAAAACTTTACCCATGAGTAGAAATGGTGCAGACTGTGGGAGACGGAGAAACAGTCTGGTACAGCCTAGCCTGCAGTTGCTGCTGAAATCCAGGAGAATGTTAATAACTCTGCTGGATGCCCAGGGCAGCCATTTTTGTCATATTTCCATGGAAACAGGAAGGCAAAAGGGGGTTAAGAGGCTACAAAATAATCACCTAAAAGCTCTGAAAACCTCATCACTATTTTGAATGATTATTTGAAAGCTCCTAACCCCATTTTTTTTGGTTGATCCAAAGTCTATTCCCATGGAAACAGGAGTGGGAATGGCAACTTGAAGTCTTAGAGTGCTGCTGAATTTTAGATGAGGCTGCAATTGAGTCATGAAAAGACTCATTTTCTCAAAGATACTGGTGGATTTGGGAGCTGACAGACTCCAAGGGGTCTTTTTTTTAAGTATTAAAAATAGGGCAAATATTTTAAAATTTCTTTCTTATCCCTCGTGTTGTATCTGTGACATAGATTAATATGCTGAGAAGCTGCCATCAGCACAATTTCAAAACATGGCACACAAGATTTTTGCCTGCTATTTGGTGTTTTCCTTAGTTTTAAATGTTAGTGTATGCGAGAAAGAGGCAGGTTGTCTAGAGAAGTGGGGGGTGTCTGTAGTATTATATTTCTGGTTAAATTAAAAAATAGGGGGAATATTCCTACATCTGATTGAAATCTACCTACTCCTCCCTAGTTTATTTTGTGTAGGTCATTAACAAACTTGGATGTGGTGTTGAGCAAAAAAATATGATTGTACCTGTAAGTAAAATGATGACTGGATTTAGCTACAGAAGCAAGTTACATCACACAAAAAAAAGAAGGGTTACAAATAACACAAGTGGCATTCCACATTCCTCCAAGTACAGAGTTTTAAGCCAAAACAAGATAATCTGTTTTTAGGAACACAGTACTTGAATTGGGTAAACTTTTTCTGGATGATAGTGGCATTGTAAAAGGTAGCATGGAAATCTGGCAGAGAGATGAAGTAGAGTCAGGAAGGCCTGAGTTTAAGTATAGTCTCCTATATGTACTGGATTATGCCTGCAAGGAATTCTTTAGCATTATCAATTGCAGAGTGAGTGCCAATATTCATTGGGAAGGGGGATTTCCTCATTTGGATCCCCTTGTATGAAAAAGAATCACACATTGTTGTTGTTCAGTTCAAAGGATCATGTGGTTTTCTTGGCAAAATGCTGGAGTGGTTTGCCATTTTCTTGTCCAGTGGATTACAGCAAACAGGTCAAATTATTTGCCTAGGTTCACACAGCTAGTGTCTGAGGCTGGATTTGAATTCAAGTCTTCCTGACTCCAGGCCCAGTGCTCTGTTCACTTAGTTGCCTAGCTGACTCCTGGGTTAAATAACTTGCCCAAGGTCACCCATCTTCTGGTGAGTGTCTGAGGCCAGATTTGAACTAAGGTTTTCCTGACTTCAGGCCCAGAACTCTTTATCACACATACTTTATACCATTTTGTAGGGTGAGTTGAAAAAAATATATTTTACTTATGGTGAGCCAGAACCATACATTGTCCTGTAACTACATATGTATTTTGTTTTCATGTCACCCATGACTTCATTGGTACAGTGTATTGATGAGTCAAATCCTGCTACCGACACAGATCATCATCTGCATGGCCACTTAAAGTGTAAGAGTTTCATGAGAGGTTAAGAGAGGTTGGCTTTGTCAGGGAAGCATTTAGCCATCATGGATCAAAGGGAAGACTTAAACACAGGCCTTCCTCACTCCAGAGCCAGCTCTCTATCCATACAATGTCATGCTGCCTTTCCCAGGAATTTTAAAATTGAATTCTCCCATTCAACCATGCTCTGATGAGTGTTACTGTAATGTCTGACATAAAAGAATGGTCATAATCCACACAGAAAATGTATACATTACCTCCAAGATTCCTGCACATGTCCAAAAGAGCAGTCAAGCACAGTTTGATTTTCTTAGAAATTTCAGAGTTGTCAGAAAATAAACTGGAAGTGGCTTAAATTCTATTAAATGCTGTACTAAATGCAAGGGACAAGCAATTTGACCCCTGAGTTGTTATCTCAGTGCCTCAGAACATTTCTAATGGATTTCTAATAACAATGATGATACAGCATAAATAGTGAGTAAATGAGTGACCATCCCTTCTTTTTCCCATGAGGGGAAAACACTAAACAACAAAAAAAGAGCATTTCTTCAAACTTTGTTGAAGGACAGCTTGTATTTCACATATGCTTTTAGTTCTTATTTTCAAATAGGTCAGGAAACTGATTCTTTTTCCTACCCAGCATGACATAAACATAGCTAAGAAATAATGTTAGTGGCTAGACTTAATGGATTTGGGGAGCATGGCCTACTAAAATCTGACATGTCTCAGTCAATTTGTAGAAAATAACATTTGAGCACACATACATTTTCCATTTAACAATAACTTTTGAACTATCTTTTAAACAGCCATTGCTGTGTGGTTTATATTCAATTTGACTGAAGCCCCAATGTACTTCCTGCCACTCTCTTTGCCCAGAGAAATTAATAGAACAACAGTGATGCAAACCCAGGGCTTTTCATCCACTAATAAATTCTACAGTAATCCTAAAAGTTACTGTAGTTGATCTTCAAATGATCATTGCTATGGAAACTATTAAACCCATGGACTTAGTGTGCAAAATCCAAATTGTCCCAAGGTTGTGCTTCCTTGCTACCCTGGGACTGAAAGCAGTGCTTCCTATAGAATGACAGTATTTGGAAGGACTGCATGGACATTTGCTATGATTTTATTTCACTCTCAAGGGTTCTAAAGCTGTTTTATACTAATGTATTCAAATGACTGAACAATTTGTTAAGAAAGAGAGAAAAGATCCCCTAAAAAGTAGGAGGGCAAAGAAGCACATTTAAGTGAGCGTAGAGAGAGGAAAATTCTGCAGTCTTCTAAGATGCAGTATTTTAGTGAGTTCTCAAAATTACTTTCTTCATGTTTTTTGCTTCATCGTCAAACACCTTGTTTTAGTTAACTATCCCAACTGCAATTAGACTTCTTTGGAAATTGTATTTTGACTCAGTAGGGTATAATTTACAAAGCTGCAACTTAAGTATTTAAAATGGAACCTCACTGTGTCTTCCATCACCCTCCAATCATCTATCCTATGCCTAGTCCATAAGAACCTTTGACTTATTTTTACACTGCTTTGTGTATCTACATAACTTTCTCCTAAAAACAGTTAAGGATATTTTCATTTTTGCTGTCCTTCCTTAAAAGAAATTATTTTTAGATGTCTGGTACTTTTTCTTGCTTTCTACTTTTTAAAATTTATTTATTTTTATTCTGAAATTAACAAAGACCAAACAAAATGAGCATTTCCATATAAGAAATAGAATGGGAAAAGAGGAATATACATGAAACTCTGAGTCTCCTATTATTTGCTTTTCCTTTTAGCATATAATACTTGTAACAATAAAAGCTTCTGTGTTTGTGTTTTCTTCTTGAATTTCTTCTCTTCTTTCCTATGTACTTTTTTGGGGGGGAGGGGGGTTAGGCAGTGGGGTTAAGTGACTTGCCCAGGTCACACAGCTAGTAAGTGTTATGTGTCTGAGGCCAGATTTGAACCCAGGTCTTCCTGAATCCAGGTCCAGTGCTCTATCCACTGCACCACCTAGCTGCCCCCCTATGTATTTTAAAAATTGCTTAAATGGCCCCCTTTTCTTTTATACTCTTTGAAATCATTCTTACTGCCTTTCTCTTACACCCACCAAAAAAAGTTAAAAACAAAAAGACAAACAAAACCCTTATAAAAATATGTATAGATGAGCATAAGAAATCTCCCTAC